TAAATTAGTTATAAGTCTTTAACTACTACTTAATACTACTTATAATAAAACTTAAGAAAAAGCAGCTGATTCAAACTTGACAATCCACTTTTGGTCTAAAAGTTGTATGTACAAAATGTATTGTGGGTGGAGTGACGTGGGAAACATTGAGTGTCTTTTGGGATAATGGCAAAAGCCAACTCCTACGTGAACTGTAACAGAAAACAAAGACTCCACAGAGGAGAGAAAGGGACTCTGGTAACCCCCCCGCCTTCCCAGCCTCTGCACTTCATGTGATGAATTTAATAAGCAACCCCCTCTCCCGGGCTTTTGTTCTCAGTTTTACATCATACAGCTCATTAGATGGTAAAATGATCAGTCATTAAACGTCTGAGGATACAGGTCTTCCCTCATTCTCAAGGGAAAGACCGGTTATAATGAGTAACTTAAATAAATACACACTTCTCTCATTTCGGCCGGTTCAGGTGAAAGCGCATTAATAATTACCCACACAGAAATGTTAAGAATGTGGTTTTAGTCCTTCATTGATTAGGGTTAAGGTTAGGGTTAGGCTCTGGACCCAGGTTTAGCTGACAGCAGTCCATGGCAATGAGAAACCGAATGGGACTTGGCTCAAGTTCAGAAACAGCTGAAATTCATGGCATACCTTTATTTGTTGCTGTGTGCTTTCTCGGATGTCTGTGGGAAATTATGTTCAGAGACACACAATATAGGTGTACACATAATATTGTTGTGAACCATGTTTTTTTAATCTCTCACGGTAAACACATTATATTCTCCATTCTCCATATAACCATTATTTTGATAATTGTTGGCTGATTAGGCTATTGATTACTTGAATTATTATCACAAATGAAATTAAAAGATAACAAAATAAGGCCAATGTTTTGGAGCTAACACAATTAGTCGTTTGACAGAACACTTTTCCACAATTCCATATCAGGTATGTCTTCAGGTATGACCCACTATTGTGTGGGTGTAGTTTTCTGAAGCCTTAGATAAAACCTGTCAGAATCCAATCAATAGATTTTCATGAAACACCTTGCAAGGCTACTAGTGACCCCAGATAACCCCGGCCTTTTACTGTCCTGTCCAAGACTGATTTAATTTTGTGGAGAAATACAATAATGTACAGTCAGCTGCAGTAGAGAGTGCCTAGTACGCACACTAAGCAGGCAAACCCAACAGAGGTTTACTGCGCTGGTCAGGGACACAATAGGACAGGGGTTCCCAATTCGTGGATTGCAAACTACTGGATGATCGCAAAGGCAGGGTGTGTAGCTCGACATTCATGTGCGTTCATTTCGGCTCCATAAAGTTATGAAGATGGTCACATACGTACAGTATACATGGCTTTTCCATTAATTTCCATAATAAACTAACTATTATTTCCTGTTATCACTTTTATTACTTTTATTTTACAAAAGGAAGAAACGCCGTAAATGACAATATAAAGCTACTCTGTGTCAAAACCGTGATGCAGGCTTGGTGTGGTTTACAAATTTGTATTTGTAAGTCTGGCCTGGCCAATATTTCCAGCTGTTTACCTGTCAAACATGTTGGCGACAGAGGGCAGGCTTAATTCAAGCTCAATAGCGGCCTGTGCCTCCTCTCACAGCCGCTGACCCTTTGGCCTCTGTAAAGACTCGAGAACGCGTCTCAATGAAATGAGTGTGCAGCAGAACAGTGGGCTTTTAGCTACTGCTCCAAGGCTTTACATACAGTGATTTATATGTCTGCATTTCACACTTAGCCTGTCATTTATGTCACAGCAGCATGATAAATATAAGACTGTGCTCGTTCAGCTCCTTCACAAAACCATGAAAGAAGTGTAAGAAGTGTAAGGGCACATCTGAACACGTTTCAGTGTTCTTGTGCAGCTCATGTTGTCACTGCCATACGTGATATTCAAAAATGTGAAAAACAGTACCTGTGTGCTTAGAATGTCGGTGCAAGAGATTATCTGCAAATGGCAAATAAATTATTCTAAATCTGATTTAATGTTCTCTTTGGGGGTCCGGCCCTCAAGAAGACTGTCTGGTAAAACTCCGGCCCTCTGACAAATATAGGTGATGACTCCTGCCCTAGTGTATACGTGTATGGGAGTCCAGAGCAATTTACAATCTATTCATTACTAAAATAGTTGAAAAACACCCTACGCCCCCTGTGCTCCTGATCAAGATGAGCATCAACCACTGCACTATAGTCCTGACAAGACGCCCTAAAGGCATTGATGGATGGGTAAAGTGCAGACTAGAACAGACAAGTATTAAAGCAATTCACAATACTCAATCTCCAACTACATTCTTAGTGCTCATTTTTAACAGCTGTTTTTATTTTTTGTTGTGATTTAAAATTATTGACATTTTGGAGTGTTATCACCCACTTGTGATTGGAGCAGGTGAGTTTGGATATCAGTGGGAGAAACAAGCACTGATGCTTAGTTTCTGTACAAAAGCTGAGGTCAGTGAGTGCTGCACTCAGAGTTTTACAGCACCACAGCTGTGCGAAGCAGCAAGCTTATGTAACCGAGTGCTGCTGAGGGGGAGGTTTGGATGTAACAGACAAATTTAACCTGCAAACACAAACTTTGGGCATAATGAAATATTTTGAAATCATGAGAGTGGGTGATGTTGAACGGCCTCATACAGAACTGTGAACTTCCCCAAACTTGTACCTTTTGTCTTTTTTGTTTTGTGCTGATTGGGTAAATTTGATAAACTGACAACATAAGTCCTGCCATGAAGGTGCTTTTGAGATTCTTTAATTAAACAACTTTAACTTAGATAAAAAGTACAGCTCATGTGAAGGGCTCTTCCAATTAGACAGCAGAGGAAGCAGAGCTTTGATCAGGGAGACTTAAAGAGGTGCATAGTATTCAGGCCCTGTGGCGAGTTGTGCTGTTGTAAATCACACTGTGTTTTCTCGTTTACTGTGGCTCATAAACTACAAGACAATTATGGAAAATAACTGGGTGCACTATTTTTCAGTGCTGTTAGGTTTGAGGTGCAAAGCCTAAAAGGATTTTACCCAAAATACATTGTGTTGCCTCAATCTTCCTTTCCCCGATCAGAGGTTCCTGTCGAACATTGATTGGCCTTTTGACACGAGTACTGTACCTAAAAATACAGTGTCAGACCTTGGCCTCTGGACATTTAGGTTTGACACACTCATGATTTATTCATGCAATGTCAATTACATCCTCAAACATGCACCACTTGCACACACTCAGATCAATCACCCCTCAATGGGTCGACCCAGTGTTTCAGCTGTGCTGGTTTCTCTGTATTGAATTTTATGAATGTTTTTTTTTTGCCACACAAGAAATTAGCAAACCCTCAACATTATAACATGGTTTATACTGGTTATATTGTGGTGTGTGCATGGTGGTGGTCAGAGGGGCAAATGGCTCAAATGGCTGGTTGCCACGCTTCTGTTAGCCCCAGGGCAGCTGTGGCTACAGTAGTAGTTTATCACACCGTGATTGGAGTGAATAAATAATGCCACATGAATTATTATTACTAAATCTGTTTTATTTCTTTAATATGATACATGAAAAGATACATTTATTTGGTGGGGAAACATAATATTCTACACTCAGCACTTAATCACAAGACCAAAAAAAAGTCCAAACATTGTTCAGTGGTTCTTTTTCCACCTGTAGGGTTTGTTAAACTGGTGAAGACACCCGTGCCTTCATTATGTGTCAACTTAACTTGACTTGCACTAAACAGCACAGTGCCTCCCTCAGGTCATCTTTATTGTCTGAAGACTGCAGTATTTTACGGTCTGAATGCTTTATAGCTGCATTGGTGTTTAGACAGGGTCACTCGGGTGAAATCAATACTAAACCTTAATGAGGTTGTTGGAAAAGAAGCCAGGCAGGGGCTGTGCGGCAGTATTGTTACATGAGCACATGAATGTTATATAAAATAGGATGATGGTCACTAAATGTGTACCTTTTTTAGGGATCATGATATCTGCTGTTAAAAATAAAAGTAAGACCAGTTGAAACATTACAGGATTTTAACATTTTGCATCATTTTATATTAAGTAGTAGTAAGAATTTAGCTTTAAACATTATGCAAAATTAAACTATAAACAATAAACAAACAAAAAAGGAGCAAAAGACACAGGCCCAAACACTCTCTGACCATACTCCTCTCTCCCAGTACTATCTCTGCTGAATTAAAAAGTGAGTCTTAGTATCAAAAATGTGAGTAAGCAATGTATTGGAAACAAAATCAAATTGGCCATTTTTCTTTTTTGGATAATCTTAGATGTAGGAGCACGAACAACACAAATAATTTGTTTTTGTTTTTTCACCCACAGTTTTTTTTGTACCATAGGCCTTTACTAAATGGTTGAGATGCAGTTTGAAAGAGGTAGATTTAAAATCCAAGCAAGCTTCAAGTAGATATAGTGACTCAAAAAGTTAATCTACCAAATGGTTCAGGAAATCATTAAAAGGTCAAGCCAAGATAAGAATTCCTTTATTCGTCCCACAGATCTGTGGAAAAACTGCACAAACTTCTGCCCCAAATCAAGCTGAAAAAGGTGGATGGAATAAATCTAATATTTCTGTCTCACTTTTTAATGTTGAAACTCTAAATATGGTCATACTTGCCATTTTTAATTGGTCTTATATGTTTTTAAATATATTCTTTAGTCTGTTAACAGTGGCTCTTTTAGTGCAGCCTAGAAGAAGTGTAGTTGTTCCAGCTGTGATGTGAGGCAGCTGTCTGTACTCTCAAGTACAGCTGATGACACGTCTGTGGGCTCCCTCGGGGCAGAGCCTCTTCCGCTCAGCACTAAAGAAGCACAGGGCGTGTGATTTGGTTCAGCAAAATATAACAACTATACAAATATAAGTCTATAAGTAATCAATACAAAATGTATTTGTCAGGATGCGTGCCCTTGTTTAAAAAGCGCATTTTAAAGCCATAATTGTCTTTTTCTTACAGAGCGTCCCAAGAGTTTCCCCAAGAGTTTTGTAACCAATGGCAGCCTCTGTTCAGACTCTTCCTCTGTCCCGTGGGCCCAACAAAACCTTCCACAACCCATTCTCCGGCCAGCCCCTCTCATCCCGCTGTGGGATGGGGAGCGTGGGCAGTTTGGTGGAGCGGCCGGACGTGTCTCCAACTAAATCCAACCATGCAGTGCCCCAGGTTAGACCCAAACCTTGCAATGGGCTGCTGAAGAAGGGCCTGGGCCAGCGGGAACTCCTCAACTACCTCAATATCACTAGGTATGTTGCTCTACACATGTACTGGGGAGTTAGTCGAATGGTCATAAGATTATACTAAGATAATACGTTTTTGAAGTCAAACATCAGTTCATAGTGCCACATTGAAAAGTGAAACGCCAAAGACCATTAAACGTATGTGGTCCTGCTTTTAGATGTGTGGCATATTTGTTTACCATATTGTTTCTTTAGTTTGAGCCACTGTCTAAGTGACTGACACACAAACACACACACAAAGTACCATTACCAGTACCATTCTAAAGCATATATAAACAACAAGTGGGTGAAAATGGCATAAAGAATGGCTTCAATATTGTTGGTTACTTGAGACTAATGTGAAGAAGAAGCCCTAAATCAAATGGGATAATACCATAAATGTAATGTTCACAGGAAAGATCCCAAAGCGACTCAAAGCGGAAACAACAAAAGAGGCTTCATCTCCAGCCTCACGTCTCTCAATGGCTGCGACGAGAACAACTTTACTAAGGTCTACAACAAAGACGGCACTGAAGTGGACCTGACAAAGAGCTCATTGCCAAGTGCAGGCAAATATGACAAGGTAATTATGATTTACTATAGAATATTTTCATTTTTTTACAACAGAAAAATCACATTGAATTACTATTATTGTTATCTTCAACATGTTTTTGAACCAATAAGAGCAAGCTGTTTTTACGGGTCATACACTTAATAAATATTAGTGTTAAAAATGAAGTTTTGTTTATGTGTACTATTACATTTAGGACACAAGAATACAGATCTTCACACCAGCAGAGACCAGGGTGGATCTAGAATTCTATTTACAGCATGAAAAAATGGGATGCTAAGAAAGACTACTTAAGAATACAAGGCATTTGTGGTTTTCCAAGAGATTACTTTTAAATCCTTTATTGTACCATGTCTACGTTCAAAAGATGTGCCCACTGCCTTTCTCAGGGTGGAAACAGATACAAATACTGTGAACCTCTTTTCAGTCACATTTGAGATCTTCCGCCTTCAAGCCTGTCACCCCGAAAAACTTCACATCAATGCAAAACCTGTACCCATCAAAGTTGGAAGAAGAGGATCATGGCGTTTCGAATGGACTGCACCGAGCCTTCGGACATGGTCCAAAAGCAGTCTCTACCTCCTCCTCCTCATCGTCCCCATCTCGATATGGAGGCCCCACAATGAACGCTAACAAGGTAATCCGCTACACAAAATTCTTAATGTACGCACGTGTATTGTTTATACCAATGAAATGCTGCAATTAAAAGGGACAAATTGGGAAAACATTACTTTACTGATTACTTATCTTTTCTTCTCCTTTACCACTTTAAACGAGACGATACCTGTTTTCACATTTTTGTCACTTTGCTTTGATGATGCGCACATGCAAATCAATGAATTCAATTTTTTTATAATAATCCTCGGGTGTCATAGATTACAACTATATGGGACAATGTTTTCTTCAATGTTCAAAATAAATGCAACATGGAGGTTTGAGACTTACATATGAATGTGATTATTCAAATATATGCTCCCATTAAAGCTGGAGTACCTAACTATGAAACAGCATGAATATCTATGCAATAAAATCCATGTAACTAGTTCCTTCCTCTCAAAACATGTTCTTCTATCTCTATCTTTCACCTACATGTGTTTTTGGCCCCTGTCACATCTTAAGATCAGCTTTCTTAGTGAAAAAGAAAGTACCAGCTCTTATTCAGCCAATCATCTTCCTGCTGTATGTAAAAAATTTAAAGGTGGCGCCCTGTTTTTCCACAAAAGACTCTTTCTTTTGGGACAAACAAAATGCATTGAAATTAATAATTATGAAACCAAAAATGGTACTCCAGCTTTAATTGTAGTTGAATCCACATTATGTGCAGGCTCTGTCCTCTGTGCGCGGGACCAGTCACGAGGAAGATAACTTGTCCGACTCGGGCCGTAATTCCATGAACAGCCTGCCTCCTTATCGAGCACCTTTCAGGCCACACATGTCTCACATCAGGTCAGTGGTGACAATTGCTAATTGCACTGTTTGTGGCGGCACTAACAGCCTTTCCGATATTCAGTGCATCTATGGGTCACATTAACACCATTGGATCTTTGGACCGGGCTTGTCAAGTGCCAAAAACGGCCCTGGCTGGTGGAGTGCCCATAGGGGAAATGGCTTGTCGGAGCATGGCCACTCTCAGCCGCCTGACCCCCCACGGAGAGGCCCCCCCACCATATGAGTGGAGCCTGTCTATGTCTATGGAGGATGTGGTGGGTCTTTGTCGCTTTCCTGAATGATTTCTGAAGCTATAATTAATATGTGACTTGCCTTACTCACATGTCACTACAGGTACGAGATCTTGAGGAGCGTCTGGTGGAGAAGGAACAGGAAATCAAACAGATGAAAAGAAACCTGGATGAGAGTGAGGGGGCCATTGCTCAGGTCATTTGAACATAGATTTATTTATTATCATCAGAAACATTTGATGTATTTTTAATTATTGTCTACCTATTGTTCCATTTGGGGAGTTAAAAATATTGAATCAATGATGAACCCTGCAATACTGTAATAATTCAAAAGAATATTTATTCTAAATTTGTTTAATAAATAATATGTCTTTTACACATTTATTTTTGGTCAAAATGTTCAATGTAGTGTCTTACTTATTCTGCACGTTAATGGCCTAGTAATGCTTTGTCACATTTGTTGTTCTTTTGAAGACTAAATCCACCCTATGACTGCTCACAGGTGTTTGAAGGGAAGCAACGTTTGTGGGAGAAAGAGGTGGGGGAGCTAAAGCGTCTTTATGCAACAAAATTACGGCAAGTTTCTCAGCAAGCTCAGCGGTCACAGCGCAGTCTGCAGCTACAGCTTTATAAAACGCAACAGGAAAAGACCAAGCTACAAGAGGAACTTGACAGCCTGAGAAAAGAGAAAAGCCAAGACTCAGGTGTCAAAACCAAAAGAACCAGTCCCACTTTGGAAGAGACACAGTGGGAGGTGAGGTGCTGCTGAGCATTATTTTTCAGATGATGTAAAAGAAAATCTAACATTCTTCTTCATTGTTGTTGTTTAGGTGTGTCAGAAGTCAGGGGAGATTTCACTGTTGAAGCAGCAGTTGAGGGACTCTCAGGCCGAGGTCACCCAAAAGCTCAGTGAGATATTCCACCTGAAGTCCCAGCTGAGAGAGACCCGGACTGTACTCAGCAGCCGGGAGAGTCAGGGTGAAGCAGTCCAAATGGCAGCAGACGGCTCTTCCAGACGAAGATGCTTTTCTCAAACAGGACGACAGGAAAGCAACACACTCGACTGTCCAGGTAATTGTATTCATTGTTTTGTTGTAAAAATTGATTTAAAAAACTTAAAACACTTAAAGTTGACTTTTATTTCATATTTGATTTAACATTTATTTAACACCTCAGAGATTAAGAATCTTCTGAATGTTTAACATGTTGATGTGGTACTGTATATTCTCCTGGATTTACGTCAATCACCATCCAATATTCATTACTCATTTATGGTTTTTTTGTAGTTTGTGATGAATTAATATCCCAATACTATGAAATCAATACATTTTTGAGAGACAAACCACAAGATACATAATTATTTTGAGAAGGTCATTACCTAAAATCTTAGATATTAGTAAATTTATATTGAGTGTGTTGCATTAAATTTCCCTGAAGGTCGTACTAGTTCAAACCATATGTGCGCCTTGGTTTCAGGAGGGTCTGGGGGCCACACAGAGGAGCGTCTGCGTGCAGAGCTGCTTCTGGAGAGACGCCAAAGCGAGGCCCAGGCTTTGGCTTTTGAAGAAGAGAGACAAACATGGCAGGCAGAAAAGGACAAAGTCATCCGCTATCAGAAGGAGCTGCAGGCCAGCTACTTAGACATGTTCCACAGAAACGAGGAGCTGGAACGGCAGCTGCAGCAGATGAGAGCGTGTGGTAAACAGGACAGAGGCAACTGTGAAGGAGCAATCAGAAGTCTGACGTTAGAGCGAGACGTTCCCCAGCTGAGGAGTGAGACTGATGCAGCTAATCACACCGACAGGCCCAGCTCTGGGTTACCCTGGATAGATCAGATTGAGTCATCTGAAATTTGAATGTGATGTATTTGCAATGTAAAAACCCTCTGGTAGGGGTCACGTTGTAGACAAGAGCTGCTAGAGATGCTATTTATTTGGTGTAGATAATACAAAAAGCCATTACAATGTAGCAATCTAAAATATGCTACTTAATTATCTGGGGACTGGTATGCATTTTACAAAAGGATTGCATTAGTTTAAAAATGAAAGGGTTTTAAGTTAATTCCACTATGTTTTGTATTTTTAAAATAGAGTTCAATATTTTGTAATTGCACACCATAAAATGGGTATCAACTAAAAATGTAATGTACAACTCATCACAAGGGGTCGCTAGAGATACTATTCTACAACTGCTGAAACCAAAGGAGCCAAACTCAAAGAATTAAACTGGGATGCTGAGATGAATATAATTAGAATCAATAGTAAAAACATAGTCAATCTATCAAAATAAACTCTAATCTCAGGTTCAGTGTTGCAAATATATTATTGCTACTCCATGACTACTGTAACTGACTGAATACCATAGTGTAAATGTTGTGACTGCTGAATATTTAGGTGGAACACAGTGTAAATATGTTATTTTTCCCCTTAACACACTGTTTAGCAACTGTGCCAGGCAGTTGCCGCTTTCCATTAAAACATAATATGAAAACAATTGTGTTGTATTACTACCAATATGTACTGTGAAATGTGTTTCTAGTATTTTCTTAGGATTATACACTTTAGATCAACTGCTTCTTTGTCTTTTCCCATTCTATTCAAAAAGCACGTATAATCTCAACCTTGCAATTAAACAAATGATGGGATCTAGTACAACTGTGAGCCTGAGCTGCTGGGACTATACTGGCTTATAAGACTTAACTATGCACATGCAGTCTACTACCCAGGAGGATCCACTGAATGATCAAGCAAATATAAGCAGTGAGACATGAAGGTCTGCTGCTGCTATTCAATCATTTGTTCTGAAAATGCTTCCAAATTGGACTGAAACTAAAATATAAATTTGACGAAGTATAAATTGTTTTATTTTCAGCTGCAAGTTTATGAAACATGGTGAAGCATAGATTTACAGTAAAGGATTCATTACACACATTTAAGCAGAAACACTTAGTCAATCACAGGGCATTAGCAGTCTCAATGAAAGACCCTCAGAAAAGCCAGCAGTGATTGTCAACCAGAGCAAGCCGGGAAACAAAGAAAGTCCAAACATCATGCTGTAACCCATTCAAAGGATGCTCATATTAAGTTTGGTCTCATCATAGATGTGTTTTTGTTATTTCAAAAACTGCAATATTTGCTGGTGCAGTAAGGGACATAGAAGCCTCAAATCGAGGTGACATCACAAAATTTCAATGAAAGGATTCATGAGCATACAGATGTCTTATATTTTGTAACTAAATTATTAGTATATTTACACATTTCCAACAGTCTCCTTAATGGAAAAAAATGTATTGTATATATTTTCCAATATATGCTATACCTAGATATACATCTTAGATACTAAGTGTTAAGTGTGGGATGAAATGACTATGAACCCTGAGGATATGCATGAACTGTTCAATGTTTAGCGAAATCGCAGAATCAGGTTATAATTGTACTAAACAACAGCGACAAGGAACAGAAGACTTTCTCACTCACAAGGAAAGCAGAACCACAAGCCTAAAGTTACTGCAAGTAAGAACTTACTGCTACTACCATCACACAACTTTACATGTGCAATGTGCACAGTACTCACAGCCCAGGGCTGTGAGGGCAGGGGTGTTACTTCTGAACCCCACGCTGTAGCTAAATCAGTAATGCATCAGTAATCCAATACATGAGGCTGTGAAGAAAATAAAATGTGTTAAATAAATACATCAAACCAGACAAGTTTCTATAACGTCAACAATCTTGCTGTTGCCGGCCATCTCCTGTCCATGAGTTAAATGTTAATACATGAACTAACAGTGAGAAGTAAAGCAGGAACTTTATTATGGAGGAATAATGAGTGACAGGTCAGTTCAAGATCGTCCTCCACAAATCCCTTCTGCAGTAAGTGTCATTTACAAACATTCTTAGAGGATATTTTCGCAATCAGTAATAGACTGATCCCCATCTTGGGTTTCCCAGCACAAAATGTGCATCTATCAAATTCTGTCCAACTGTCAGACAATGGGGGAAAAACATAAAGCAATGAAGAAATCCTCGAACATATTCAAAACATTAAAAAGCCAAGAAACACCTGATATACCTCAAAAACAATGTATTGTTCATTCCAGAGAAGCAGACAGTCTGCACTACAAGCTGAAGTTGCTCCTTTCAGCTTGGCTTGGTGTTTTAGTTGGAGATGGGCATTTAGAGAAACTGCAGTCATTCAGAAGAGCAAGGGGACCAAAACCTTGCTTAAAGTAAGGCCATAGACCATGTTGGAAGTGGCAAGAGAATATTCTGAAATGCCTCACACTCCACCGAAGCAAGAGCCACTGAATGTATCAAAAGTAGATCTGTTTGGCATGTGACGGGTTCTGCTCCATGGGACAATATGGGCATTTCAACCTGAACAATGAACCAACATATTAACACACAATCCAGTTATAGTCAACATTATGACCTGAACAGTTGAAGACCATTACTCACTTCCCAGCGTTGGTGAGTTTGTTGAGGGCATCTCGAGAGATTACATGACCACAAATAAGCTTCATTGGAGGATTGCTTTCTGAAGTTTGTTGACGAAGAATTGGGCAGGCAAACACTGAGTGATACCAGCACTTTTTACCCAGATCAATTTCGATCTAGCCAACAGAAAAAGTAAAAAAAATAAAATATTCACTAAAACATGTACAAATCTGTAAGGCTAACAATAACTCACTGGCAACTCATCTTTGTGTGTCCAGACCCCACTACATTGTCTTTGCTCTATGACCTGTTTGATGTTCATAAGCACAGGCAATGCCATGCAGCCTGAAGCAAAACTAGAGCATAAGAGAAAAAAATTAGAATATAGGTTTTTGTCTTTTTCTTTGTTGAAATCATATTTAATTAAATCTAACCTGACACTTAAAGGAGACTCTACAGAAAGACCCAATAAGGCACAGGCATCCCTGGTGAAAATGTTGCAAATCTCAGCCCACTGATTGGGTTCAAGCAAACTGCGATATGGAGAACTTTCAATACCATGGCGCAAGTACACTAGACTCCCCATCAAAATCTGTATATCTGCAAGAAGATAAAATTATAGAATATTTCAACACTTTACAATAAGAGTGATTTCAAATGTTACCTCTCTGGTGCTGTGAAGCGAATGGTTGAAAATGTCTTGCATATTGCAAAGCTTCCACCTGATTGCTGATCCCTCCACTGAGCAAGCTGATGAAGTACAATCTGTGCAATTTGAACTCAAGACTACTGTTCAGATCAAGAAGCCGCTGACGATTTGTCACTGCCCATCTAAAAACAGAATGGGATTAAATCCAAAATGTAGACAAATAGATCACATAAAGCAAGCATAAGCGTACTCTAATGCTGGCCTAAGATCCTGCATACGAAGTGCTTCAAGGATTCGGTTCAATTCAAGGAAAGGCTGCTTCATACTCATATCAATTACTACTCCCGACTCCTGAAAACACAAAAACACATGTATCAGTCATTTTCCTAAAAAGAGTCAAGCGTTAGAAAGTTTGCATTATTTACCTGACACAAATCCTCTGCTACGCTGAGCATGCCTTGTCTATACAGATGCTCCACAATTGTTTCACTAAGATATTTCTGCCTGTCAGGGGTATCCCATACCGTTTCTGCAACCACGGCACTAATCTCTGCATCGAAGTTCTGGGGAGCAAGAGACTATCAGAGAGCTCATGGAAAGAAAAAAACAAATAACTAAAATATCACACTTACCCTGTCAATGGCTTTGCCAACTTTTGACACACTGCCATGAATGTCTTTATGTCGGGAAGCTAACATTTGCACTGTTTCTTTAATGTTCTTACAGCATTGTGTCATTGTCTGGGAAAGAACAGACAAGTCTGCATCTTGTACACCTGTACGTGGAGAAACAAATCATCTATTAAGATTTAACATTAGCAGGAAATACTTAGTAAAAGTCAGATGCAAACCAGCCTTACCAAATGCTACTAGTTGGGCACGTATCTCACAGACACTGCGCAGGAGCTCATCTAGTCTCTCTTCCGACTGGTGGCCATACATAACAAAGCGATGGAGAACTTTCTCCAACTCCCGCTCCACACATGCACACTGCTCCATGTTTCTTCCTACACACTCAGACAATATGACTAAACATAGAAAAAAATCAAATAATCAAATGTTTATGAAAAAAATAAAGTATTATGCCAATTAGGACTAGGAATAAATTAAATAATTCATGTTAGTGCCATATGAACTGTAAACAAGACCTTTTCATATTGAAAAAACAACAATTTGGAAATGGCTTCATGAAAAAGTGAAAAAGGCCTCCACTCTGGCAATTTTAGAATTTTTAATTCATGTAATTATTTTATTCATGTAAACTTTACTACCTATGGAAAATCTTCTTGAATTTCATCTGTTTGGATACATTTTAATGTATTCTTTATTGTTTAGTAAAAACATTGAGTTGCCCTATTAAAAAAAGTCACACATTCCTACGCGTGAGTTAAATGGTGTTTGAATAACCGTAATAATTTACTAGTCCAAAGATCCATCTTATAAAAATGGTCTATATAAAAGTAAGGCTGTATTTAAAGAGACAAAATATACAATGCAAGTGAGGCATATTCCATTGGCACAAATTGCTCTGATCCTGAGTTATTACTAATCATTAAGTACAGTCTAATACAAAAATATTGACAAAGTAAATGTTATAACGAGTATCATGAACAGAAAGCTTAAGTGGCTCATTGAATGTCTGAAATGTTAGCGCTAGAAGCTAGCAGTACAGGAAATGTCCACTAACCAAACCTAGCGTAAACCTTTACACACACGTACATCGCGTCGTCATCTAAAAACTTGACGTAGAAATCTATCAACTATTTAATATATGATCAAGTATGTCACAATGGAAGCTAAATCGGGCTATACAATGGGGTATTTGTGAAGACATAAGAGCTAACATAAACAAACACTGCAGTCAGCTGCCCCCGCTGTTAAAGCTAACCAGTGCTAACAGCTAACGACGCATAAGCTTCAAGTTGATGAAAAGTACCTATATACAGAGCCTGCCAGTATTCCGCAGGTTAAGAACCTGCATTTTGGAATAATTCACAGATCAACACAATACAATTAACGTTTAGCCCAACCCACCTTGATATTTCACGTTTGGTGCTAGTTAGCTGACATTAGCTTTGAAGCTAGCAGCTTGTTTTGATAACGCTTCTCTGGCTGCTGGAGCCAGACTGCGGATCTTCCTGTGTTGCACCACGCCGTCTGGACTACATTTCAAAGTAAGACATCTTTAAGGCAATTATCTTTGCAATGTAACCCTCCCGATTGGACTTGACCTCTCTTGGTTTATTTTTGTTAAGTATAAAAACTAAGTAAAACATTTATCAAAAGGGCATACTTCCTAATCTTTGAATGACACTTGATTATGTTGCACCTTGGTATGCTGTGCAACCACTTCAGTTATAAAATGTGACACAAAATAGTTATTAGATATGAAGCATTATGAAAACTGTAAGCTTGGAGCAGATGAAAGATGCAGACACTGAGCTGAATGATAGAGGGATTTAATCCAACATCACTATCAAATCTGGCAAGGCAAGGCAAGGCAAGGCAAGTTTATTTGTATAGCACAATTCATACACAGGGCAACTCAAAGTGCTGAACAAGATAGCATTAAAATCATAAATAATCACAGAACATTAAAACGAAAGATAAAAATATAAAATCCCTCAGTTGTATGCACAGCTAAACAGCACCGTTTTTAACTTGGTTTTAAACATTGTCAGAGAGGAGGCCTGTCTCACATCTTCAGGAAGATTGTTCCAGATTTTAGCAGCATGAATCTGAAAAGCTGCTGAAAATCTGAAAATCTGCCTGGTGTTTGACCAGGGGCAGAAGCTCGGAGCAGAAGCTAGTAACATCTCTGTCGCAGCAAGAACCACATTTTCCAATACACAAAAAGATATTAAAAAAATCAGGATCTGTCCATCCTGCTTTTTTTTTTTTTTTTTTTCACTACCAGGCATAAAAAAATGTGCAGGTTGGACATGGACACTCCAGAAGTAGAGGACAGGGTCCAGTGCATAGACTCTATATATTGTCCAGCGGCACCTGAGGACCAATGATGGTCAAAAGTTAGTGTACCATTGAGACCTCAAGGCTGGCCCAGGTATAAAGTGGACTGGGGTGTGAGTAGGGACGTAGGTGTTGGACGGCCCCACTTTGCAGGTCCAAACTCGGAGACCAGAGTTGTGCAGGGGTGCAGTGGGGTCCAGTGTCTGTGTCTGGAGCTAGATTAGTGCTGGTTGTCTTCTGTGGGGTTTCCCGTACCGTATGTGCCTGAAGATTGCAGTATGTCCTGGGTGTTCCTGTGTTCCTATGTGTTCTTGTGTGTTCCTATGTGTTCCTATGTGTTCCTGTGTGTACCTGTGTGTTCCTATGTGTACCTGTGTGTTCTTGTGTGTTCTTGTGTGTTCTTGTGTGTTCTTGTGTGTTACGGTGTATTCCTGTGTGTTCCTGTGTGTTTTTGTGTCTAAGTACTGTGTTCTCAGTGTTCTCCTATCAGATTGGTCAGGACCTATCTGACCGTGTCCCTGTGCTGTGCCTGGCATGTCAGAATCAGAATCAGAATCAGAATCAGAATCATTTTTATTGCCACGTGAGTAACAAAGTTGTCCCAGTGAGAGAGACTAATGTGACCAGTATACGGATCCCTTGACCCTTGAGTCTTTCCAGGTGACCATCTGGGATTTTGTCTGACCACATGAGACTGTGATCTGATCTCTTACTTACAGGATATGGAGCCTGTTGTTTTTTTAATACCCCCTTTTGTTACCACTTAATAAACAGAGATGACACGTTTCTTCTAAGGATGGAGTAAACAAATCTTTAATTTTAATCTTGGGATGCTCTGTTAGTCCACTGCCTCTATTGTGTATGGTACAATCCACAGCGAGGTAGATTCAGACAAAAAAAGTGACATTAAAATGGATAGAAATACTGGTACTTCATATATTACTCTTATGGTAATTAAACCACTAGATAGATGATCACCTCAGTACATTTATTTATTATTATTAGATGAAGGCAATTATCAAACATATTGAATACATTTTCATGCTACATATTTATCTTTATTTTGGTCTAAAATACATAGATAGATACTTTACTGATCCCCTGTAGGAGAAATGCAGGTGTCTAGCAGCAGAAGACTCATCCAGGTTTGTTGTACAGTCTGACAGCCGAAGGAACAAAGGATCTCTTGAAACGTTCCGTTCGACAGCGTAGTGATAGGAGCCTGTTGCTAAGATGACTCCTTTGAGTGGCAATACTGTCATGCAGAGGGTGTCTGGAGGAAGCCCTGTATTAGAGCTCTCATCCTTCTCTCCAGCACAGCTCCCACTGAGAACACAATTCTCCCCATCACAAAAACACATTTCCAGATCAGCCTGTCGAGCCGGTTACTGTCTCTCGGGGTCAGACTGCCGCCCCAACTCGCGACCCCAAAGAACACAGCACTAGCTACAACAGACTGGTAAAATATGTGCAACATCTGACTGCTCACATCAAAGGACCTCTGTTTTCTCAGGAAGAAGAGTCTGCTCTGACCTTTCTTATAGACAGTCATACAAATACCTAAAAGAGGGGTCCACCTGGACCCCTCTTTTCACACATGCCACAACGGCGGTATCGTCCCAATATTTTTGTACATGGCATGTAGCAGAGTTGTGTGCAAAGTCAAAATAGCGGAGTGGATACTCAAATCAAAGTGGGTTGAGTTTTGTACTTGTCATACTGTAGATAAAACAGAACTGTCAATGCAGTCAATAGGAAGGAATGATGGTAAGCTTAGATCTGGATCACTGCATAACAAATAGATTAGTCACACAGTCCCATGTTTACAACAATGACAGTCTATATTGGGTTTACAATGACTTCAGCCACTAAACTATCTGGTCTTCACTCAAAATAGTGCTTAAAATCATCATGTTGTTAAATATTTACACATTTAAAATGTTTAGCATTAGTGGTGATACTTGTTTAGGCCTGACAATGGAATCACAATCATTGTAGTAAATTTAGCTAGACCCTCAACAATGTCCAAAGGTGACTACACCTCCGTTGCAGGAGAGAATATTCTCCAAAACAACATTTGGACTTAACACCACATAGACTTTTCTCCTTGAAGTGCAGGCCAGATTCTGCCACTGCCTACTGCCCAGGCATTTGCACGGTTTTGGTAAATGGTGGCCAGTGCTCTGTGTGCTTTTATGTTGTGTCGGGTAGGTGCCTTGTCTCCCTTCGTCCTTCTTTTGAAAGACTTATTTTGGCTTGTAATAAACAGGGCATATGAAATGGTTCCGTCGGGGCACCAAAAAGTTGATTCCAAAGTAGAAGCCCCCTCACTAACAATCTTGCTGTCAGTGGTCAATGGCTATTGTGGACATTGTATATTTGGAATTGTCCATATCGAAAGTACATAGTACCAAAGAAAGCGCTGTCTGGAATGTGGAACGGCATGTGTGACTTGTTTAAGTAAAAATAAAGTTGCTTTTTTGGTTGGAGGTTGTCATATTTTATTATGATATCTGTTCTGAACCCAGGTCTGTTTTTTTATGTTTTCATTCTGAAAAGATAATTTTGTCACTGAGAATTTCAACTTTGAATACATTAATAAATGTTTTTTGATAATAGTTAATATTTTTTATATTCAACATGCACTCTTTCAGCAACCAGTTTGCAACTTTGCTTTAGATGCTTTGCCATGTGAGCTTGCTTACCCATTACGTAGAGTCTGCATTAACCTTTGACCCTTGTCCCACCTCTTCAGTGGTTGCATTATACTGCAAGCATTTAATTCTACTCCTTTCCACTAAGTCTCTGACCATTATTGGCCACATACACCAAAAAGTTACGACAATGAACTTTTTCTTTTGTCTGAGAAATAGTCTATGTCTGAACCAACATTTTTGGCTATCTATTCTGATAATGTGGCTCTAAATATAGAAGAGCCCTGTGACTGAGCTGGCGCTAAGTGTCAGATTCCAGGCGCTCTCATTTGCCCTGGCAGAATATGCAACTGCTGCTAACTATAAACCTGGCCCACCAGCACCACTGTACCCCTTCCTTGCACTCTCTGGAAAACCCAACCAGAACTCATGCTGGAGGATCTAGGTTAAACGACTGCTTCTCCTGTGGCTAAATGGGAGGGGACAAGGGATCATGGGAATGTCAAATGAGAGGCGTCTGAAGAAGATGAAGACCGTAACATGGCAGGGAGCTGAAGGTAGTTGAGCAGATCAAGTATTTTGGATTTTTTTTCTCTCTTGAAGATTGCTTTGGGATCACTACAATTGGCTAGATGTGGAGATGATATTCAACAGATGAGCTATATTACCATGGATAGTGGATGCCATTCTTGGCCAAAGGTACAGATAAAAGCTTTTGTTTTTTGTTGAGTTAAAAAGATGTGCTCTACAATTATAGAGTGAATATTTGGTTTAAGCTACAGCTGCAGGAAAAGTCATGATACCTATTTGGGGATCTAAGTAAATAAATGGATTTAGAAATTTCCTAAATGGAGAGTTTAAACATTCTTTTAGTGGTTCTATTCTATTCTGTTGGTTGCAATCATTCTGTCCAAAACAAATGTCCAAATAGAATAATTAACTGTAATTTCCTCACTGTGAGATTAATAAAGCTTATAATTAATTTGCCTTGCTCATCAATGTTGATATACATCCTCCAGGTAACTATATCTCTTTTGCAGTCACGGACTTGAGCCCAGAGCAGCCCAGAACAGCAGACTGCACTGGTCACAGAAATTGGAGCTTGTGGTTTAGAGATGGACAGCTGGACTCTTCAAGGGGACAGTTACTCATTTCTACGGAGTGCACCACGCACCTTTTCTCTTTGTCATCGTGACGGTACGCCAAACCACGTTGAGCTATTTGACATTATTAACACGCCCAGCCAGCGTAGTGTCATTTCTGAAACCACCTGCCTGTGTGACATTTTTGGAGACGACTGTGAAGCGGCTTCACTGTCAAGTAGTCCTGCATCAGCTGCTTTCATCCCCCAACAGACGGAGGTGGAAGGACGTGTTGTGACCTCACCCATTGTGGATGACAATAACGACTCCTCTGGTTCTTATCACACAG